CCCGCGCGTCGTGCGCCCCACAGCCCCCGGCCCCGAATTGTTGCGGCCGCTCGCCTGTGGACTCGCGCGTGCATGTCCGCCTGGCGCACCCACGCGCCCCGCCCCGCCCCGCTCCGGCGCGTTTCTTGCCACGCCGCGTGCCCCCAACGCAGCGGCCTGGAGCGGCACCAACGTGGCCGTCAAAATCATCGAGTTCCTGGAGGAGGAGTCCCCCGGGATTGACGCCGCCGCGGCCGCCGCCGCCGCGGCCGGCGGCGAGAGCGACTCGGAGGACGGCGGCCGCGGGCGCGCGCTGCTGGAGGGCCTGCTGCAGGAGCGCGTCAGCCACCCCCACGTGGTGCGCAACTTCAAGTTCCTCACGCGGCCTGTGCCGGGCCCGTCGGAGGACGGCCGGAGCGGCGAAGGCGATGGCGGCGACGGTGACGGCAGCGCGGGCGCGCCGAACGGGGATGAGGGCGGCTCGCGCGGCGGGGCGCGGGTGCAGACGCGGCGCAAGCGGCGGCGCGTGATGGAGGCGTGGTTGCTGCTGGAGTTCTGTAACCGCGGCTGCATCGCGGACGGCATCGATAAGGGCTGGTTCCGGCTGCCGCACAGCATGTTTGAGCCGGCGGCGCGCCCCATTATCACGACGGCCAAGGAGGTGGCGGCCGCCATGGCCTACCTGCACAGCGAGGTGGGCCGCGGCCGCTTGAGGGGCCGGGCCACGCTTCTGTTGCACGGGCTCAGGACGGCCGGTCTCGCGGCCGGCGCAGAGCAGGGGGCCGTCAGGAGCCTGCTGGCTGGTCGTCCCGCTGGACGGCTTGCCGCGGACATCGCGGAGCTCTGCGCATGGCCTTGCGTCCGCCGGCGGCAGTGACCAGCAGTGACCGTCGGTAGCCGTGCTGCTGAGTCCCATGACGCCCCGGGGCCCAGCCCCCGTCCCCCTTTCACTCACCCCTCCCCCCAAAACGAAAACCATCCCCAGGGCATCCTCCACGGGGACCTCACCAGCGCCAACGTGCTGCTGACCACCTCGCCGGAGGGGGAGGCCCACGACCCCCGGGGGTTCGTTGCAAAGGTGTGGGCGGGGGTCGCAGGGGAGGACTCTGTGCGCGTGCGCGCACAACACACACACACACACACACACACACACACACACACGCACACACACACACACAGAGACACACGCATGCACGCACACACACACCGCAGGTGTCCGACTTCGGCCTGAGCCGCAGCGTGGCTGACGAGGACGGCGTCATTGCCACGCGGTCCTACGGCACCGTGACGCACATGCCTCCAGAGCTGCTGCTGGAGGGCCGCATGAGCAAGGCCGCGGACGTGTACAGCTTCGGTGCGCGCCACAGGGCTGTCGGCTGCCTGCTGAGCGGGGCCGTGTTGCCTGTCCGTCACATGTGGCCTGGCTTCGCACACGTGAAAAGTACAGCTTCATTCTGAGCCTGCAACACGAGCGCCGCCGCCTATCTCTGTCACCAATCATTTTTTGAATCCGTCGCCCAACTTGAACCTGGCGCACCCAAATTCGCCCCCCAGGCGTCGTGCTATGGGAGATGTTCCAGGGCGGCCGCCCCTTTGCCGGCCTCACGCACAGCCAGGTCCTGCACGCCGTCAGCACGGGCAAGACGCTCACCGTCCCCAAGTGCACACCCGAGGCGGCGCGGCCGCTGCTGGCTGCGTGCCTGTCGCCCAAGCCGGAGGCCAGGTGGGTCGCCCGCCCTCCGCGCGACAGGCCTGCGCGGCGCTGGGGTGTGCTGATGCCGGGCACGCCGCTGCCGCTGCGTGCCACCTTTGCCGCACGGCTGGCTGCCCCGTTGGACCAGCACAGGGCACGTTCGCGACTCGCCCCATCCACATTGTTTTTCCCCCTCGTTTTCCCGCCCCTACCTCTGCGCGTTGCGCGCGCTGAACCGACGTCCTTGGCTCAGCCTCCCACCCCTTGCACTGCCCTTCAACCCCCACACCTGCTGCACCAGGCCTAAGTTTGCGGAAGTGCTGCAGGCACTTGAGGAGCTGGAGGAGCTGTTCCCCTGGTGATGACATCACGATGACATTGATGGGATGGGTGGTCGCACTGCGGGCCACACCACCTTGGGTGACGACATTTTGCGCGGGCGGGGCGGCGGCTAGCCCGGCTGACACGCCACCGCCACTTTTGTGGGGCGATGCAGCCCGCTTCACATGGCGCCGCTCATCAAGCATGCTGCTGAGGAGACCGCCGCGCCCGCCGCTTTGTGCATTCCGTGCGCCGCCATACGTGGGGAATGGGTTGTCCATGTGGGTCGCGACTGGGACCGGGTCCTAGGCTTCTTCAATGCATGTTTTAGGCCGCGTGCCGGGATGCATGGCCTCTCAATCGTCATTCTGCCGTCGCCTTGCATTTGCCGGGGCTCCTGGGCACAGCATCAACCACTCATCGCAATCACGGGGCTCTTCTGGGGAACCTTCGGGGCCCTGAGAACCCTGCGCATCACAGGGACCATCGCTTCGAGCCGCGCGCCCGTGCGTCCCGCGCCATCGCCTCTGCACTCGCGACACGGGGGCACGCTGCCCCTTCAAGTCTCCCGCCCCTATCTGCGGCGCCCGCCTTGGCAACTGCGCAGGCCGCGCCACGCCGAGCGGCGTCGCCCACACTCTCTCTGCTGAACCCAACCTGCAAAGCGGTATAAATGTTTTCCCCCTTGTGTGACCCACACTGCATCCATCGTGCGTCTTCACCCCTGCCTGCCCGGTGTCGCATCGGGCGGCGACCAGGGTGGTCCCCGCTTCAGCAACCGATTTTCCCCTCGCTTTGCTCATTGCTGCCTGGTCCGTTGCGAGGCAGCCAGGTGCTCTTGGGGAGAGCAGCCCGTACATCTGCGCAGCTGCGCCGCCGCTGGCGCTCCCCCGCCGAAGCTCACTGGCGCCCTCACGCGCGCCCCGGCTCGCATTCCTTCGTATTCACCCTGATGTGAGGCCCGTGGTTTGGCACACTGCACTGCGTGCTGTGGCCTTCCCGCCGGCCTCGCCCCGGACCCTTGGCGCTTTGCTTGCGGCTTCCTGCGGAGGTGTGGAGGGTCTCAGAGTGTGATTGGTGGCAAAATCTTGAATTCACAGGCCCGGCAAACGAGTTCCGCCCCGCCAAGGCCCACCCTGCTGTAACAGCTGAGCAACGCGTCCGCGTTTGTGGCTGTCGCTTCGACTGTTCCAGCCTGTCTGCTTGCAAACGCCGATTTGTCTGATTTCTGTGCTGTGTCTGCTTTGGAGAGCGTGGTGGTCTTGGCCAAGTATGCGCCGACCATCATCCTCAATGTAGATGGTCAAACTGTGGTCGAAAGCATAAGTTAGCATCATCTGATGGGCACGAACAAGATATCGCGGGGCAAGACGTTCTACTAAAAGATCCCTGTCGTCTGAACTGATAAATCACGTCGCTGCTCGAATCACGTCTCATGTCAGGTGCTAGGGTTGACGATGCGGGTGGTGGCACGTTTGGCACTAGGGTCGCTTGCCCCGCGTTGTATAAATTGTACTTACCTGATAGTATTACGAGTTATGAGAGTGCTCTTAGCCTGATAGAGCTGCGAAGTCTCAAAACTTTACACGTAGGCGTGAGTAATGGGACTCAACTCGGGTGCCGTGACTCTTTTGGTGCTCATGTATTGCTGTAAGGCAATACAAACGTCTTTAAATCCCATCATAACTCAGATCTTTGCTCATACATCCCCACACGCGTGATCGCGCGATCCTCGGATGTCAATAGCTGCCGACAGGCGCCCAAATACGACCCAGAAACAATGATCAAGTCCAAGCAAGCTTCTACGGAGAGGGTGCCCGGAAGGGTGGGCTTGGCATCGTGATCCCGGCGCCCCGCGCCGCTGCCACTCTCGCGACGTCGCTGCCACCCGGCATTTGTAGCCGCCACCACTCAATCAATGCCTGCAGAATGATCATAAAAACCAATTAAACCCATTCTCTGCCCTCACATCAATTTGCAGGTCGCCGAACACGCCATGACCGGCGCCGACTCCAATGGTGCTGAGCCCGACGAGCTACGCCAGGGCGCCGCCGCCCCCATCTCCCCTCGCGCCTGGTCCCAGGGCCCGAAGCCCGCCGCAGCCACAGCCGAGGCGCCGACGCAAGACCCGTCCCCTGACGACGCCCCCGACACCGGCGCCGCGGACCAGGCGCCCAAGAGCGCCGCCGGGCCTGCGAAGGCTGCTGCGGCGGCCGCCGCGGCGGCGGCTGCCCAGCAGCTGCCGGCGAGCAAGGACGGCAAGGTGCTGCACCCTGACCTGGTCAACCCCAACATCATCAAGACCCAGTGAGTGCCGGTTCTGAATCGCCTTGAGATCTGCAACACCCTCGCGTGCGAGCGCAAGCACGGGTGTGCACATGCGTGGGTCAATTTCGGCCCTGCACCTTGGCTCAGCCGGGCTGCCAATCGGCACACTGAGTGAGAGCTTCTATAGACAACCCAAGGTGATTGTTTTCCAGCCATCATGATTGATACGATGTCAGTGCATACAAATAGACCCAACAAGCATGACAATGCCGCCCCTTGAAGGTACGCTGTGAGGGGGGAGCTCTACCTGAAGGCCGAGGAGATGCGGCGCGCCGGGCGCGACGTGATTTTCACCAACAGTGAGCGGCGGGAGCCGGGTGTACAACAGGGAGCATGTATGCCCCACCCCCACGCGTGGACTGCTCACTGCGCCCACGCCAACACCTCGCAAACCCATCCGCCTTGCTGGCGGCGGCACCTGTGCGCACTGCCAGCTGCTGCGCCCGGCCGGGTCTGCTCCAGCGCCTGGGGGCGCGCTTGCGCGCTCACAGGCGCCGGGCCATGCGGTGACCGCACGCGAGTGCGCTCGGTCACCGCATGCGGAGGAGTCGCGTGTTGCGTGAACGCAGCCGGCACATAGGCTAGCCACGCGTGCGTGCATGCAGCCGCTGTCGAGGATCCCTGCAGCGACCCTGCGGCTTTGTGCATGCAAACGCTCACAACCGCCTGCTCCCACCCCAACCCCTCGCACAGTCGGCAACCCCCACAACCTGGGCGCCAAGCCCAAGACCTTCACGAGACAGGCAGGGCGTGGGCCGCCGCGCCCCGGGCCTCTCGGGCGTGTTGTCTGTTGGCGCCCCCGCAGCGCGTCCCGTGTGTTGCCTGGGCCCCGTGCCTGCAATTTTACCTGCAATGCACGGTGGCAGTGTGGCCTCCTCACGAGAGATGGCCGCTCCCGCCACCACTGCCAGCAGGAGGCGACACTTGATGCACCGCCTCCCCTGCACAGCTCCAACCGCCCTCAACCGCCGCGCCGCACGCCTGCCGACGCCAGGTCATCGCCCTGTGCGCAGCGCCCGACCTGCTGGACAGCCCCCAGGCGGCCGGCCTGTTCCCGCACGACACGGTGGCGCGTGCGAGGAAGCTGCTGTCCAGCTTCACCGGGGGCGTGGGCTCCTACACCGACTCAAGGTGCGGGGCGCGCGCGCGGCGTGGGGCGCAATACTCTTTGACGGGTCGCGGGCGGGGTCTGGCGCGTGCACGCATTGTGGCGTGTCGCATGCACACCCGAGCCAGGAGGTGGCAGGGAGCACCCGCGCTGCCTCCTTCAGCCGGCTGCCGCGTGCGTGGGGCGAGCGCGCTGCGCGCCGGCAGCGCTCACAGGAATGAGAGGCTGCCGAGCCGACAAGAGCTGCAGCTGCAAGGAAAAGCGCCACGCCCGCCGGTCGCTCGTTGCCACCCGTGCGCGTGCATACGGCACTTGCGAGCGCCAGCCCGGCGCTCACGTTCCATCCACTTCACGCGGCCTCGTACGGTGCCCTTCGCGGCCGCCCGGCCCCCCAGGGGCAACTCCATGGTGCGTCAGGACGTGGCCGACTTTATCGGGCGGCGTGACGGCTTCCCAGCAAACCCAGAGGTGCGTGCCGGCGGGTGGTGGCGCTCCCAAAGGGCAGCGCTCGTTGGCTGCAGGGGTCGTCTCCTCCTGCGGCACGGCCGCCTACATACACTCCAGGGTCGCGCCGGCTGATGGCCTCCTAGCGCCTGTTCTGGCGCCGCTTGCGTGTTCGCCTGCCGCCTGATTGCCTCCCGCCTGATCTTGATCTTGCTCCCTGGTTCCCCTAGTCTGATGACCCTTGGATGTATATGTGTGGGGTGCCAGCAGCCTGCCTGCTGCTGTTCCCGCACCCGCTGCACGCGAGCGCTCGCACACATCAGCACATGCACACACACTCAAGCGCCAGCTGTGTCGAGGGCTGGCATGCACCAAACCCCCCACATTGGCCACTGGACCCTCTCACACCACAGCACATCTTCCTAACTGATGGCGCCAGCCCTGGCGTGAGGATGAGCCTCTCAGCCCTCATCCGCAACTCGGTGCGTGGGCGTGCGCCTGGCGATGCTGGCGCCAGCCGGCGATGGCGAGCTGCAGCCGGCACGCGGTTGCTCGTTGTTGCAACACCTCTGTGCCTCGTGGATTGTATGGAAGCGCAGGCCTGCGCGTGACCTATGAATTGCTGCGCTTCTTTGTGCCCGCATGCTCAACCAATGCGGCGCCTCCCCGGGCAGCTTGATGAGTCGGCTGTGGTCGACTGCTGTGGTCGTCACACTTGTGGTCGGATCCCAATTCAGACCCCTGGTCAAACCTCTGGTCAAACCCGGCGCAGGACGACGCCATCCTGGTGCCCATCCCGCAGTACCCCCTCTACAGCGCAGCCATCACGCTGCTGGGTGGGTCGAGCCTCCTGGCATACTCCTTGCGGTGAAACATCCAAGCCTTGCATTGGAAAATCTAAGCCCTAAGCTTTGATTGAAAACGCCTCGCTTGGGGGCGGGACCTCGTCAGGGCACGTCGCGTCCCACATACATGGTTCAAGACCAATGCCCCGTTTGCTGGAGCCCCAAGCGACGCTCCCGCTGCGCGCCACATACATCGCCCCTGACCCCTCGCAAGGCGGCATCCTCGTCCCCTACGACCTGGATGAGTCACGCGGCTGGGCCCTCTGCCTCTCATCCCTCAAGGCCGCCGTGGCTGACGCGCGCGCCAAGGGCAAATGCGTGCGGGCCCTCGTCTTCATCAACCCGGGCAACCCCACAGGCCAAGTGAGGGCGGTGCAATCTTACGCCAGCACCGTATCCGTTTCATGCACAGCGTGCTCGATTTCAGGGGTGTGCGCAGCAGCAGAGCGGGGGGGAGCCCTGTTTGGGGCTTACGCCTGCAAGCTGCGAAACCAGATGGTGGCATGGCAGGCGTAAGCTGAGGTCCTCAAGGTCCTCCTTGCCACCTGAACTGCATGCAGTACCGTTCTGCCCCATGTCACCCCCCCCCCTTGATCTGCGCGACGCCCTGCCGTGTGCAAGGTGCTGCCGCTCGCCAACCTGCGTGATCTGGTGAGGTTCGCTTTTGACGAGAAGCTTCTGCTCATGGCGGATGAGGTAATGAGCTGCGCGGCAGCAGGGGAGTCGTGTTGAGTGCTGGGACGATTTTTTAAACGTTCTGCTGGATTGCGATGTACGTCTGTCTGTAGGGGCATGTTTCCAGTGCAGGGTGCATCCTTGTTTTTTTGGGGGGGGGGGGGGAAGCGGGGGCCTGCTGCTGGAGGGTGGATGCGGTGAGCAAGTTCGAGTGCAAAAGCAGACTCGTCTGCAATGGACTGCGCCGCCTGCGATCACACTCGTGCTGCAACGACCGTCACCCCGCCCTGATCGTGACATCATGTTGTGACATCACGTGGTGATGTCATCAGGTGTACCAGGAGCTGGTCTACGAGGAGGAGAAGCCGTTTGTCAGCGCACGCAAGGTGGGCGCCTTCTTGTTCGTATGCACGCGCGCGTGTGTGTGTGTTTCGGGGGGGTGCATGCGTGCGTGCGTGCGTGCGTGCGTTTGTGCGCGTGCATATAGGAGGGCATGTCAACCCAGGACGCCAGGCCGGCTTGCGCCCTGCTGGGGCTGCACATGACAGCCTCCGGCCTGCTGGACGGCCAGCCGCCAGCAACCATGGCGGCGGTCACGGGTTGCCTCTTACGGCACGGTGCGCGTCGCATCCCAGATACTACCATCTGTTCTGGAGGCAAAACCTTGCCTGTGCCCCAAGGCTGAAAACCAGCACAGGCACGTTGGCTGCTCTTGCAGATGAGACTTGCGACTTTCGCTCCTTGACAGCTGCGTGCCTTGGGACCGGCACCTTTGATAAGAACCCACGCGCATGCCCCCTGCCCACCCCCTGCTGCTGAATCCGACCCAACCACAGGCCCTGAAGGACATGGGGGAGCCCTACGCCAGCGGGGTGGAGCTGATATCATACCACACCGTCTCAAAGGGCACGAGCGGCGAGTGCGGCCTGCGCGGCGGGTGAGGCGGGAACGCCTCCTGGGTCAGTTTGACTACAAGCGGTGCTGCGTAGCCTTGGAGGGGTGACCACGAACATCTGCAAGTCCACGGTTATAAGATGATGAGCACACATCCCTCCTTGCTTTTTGCCACCGCCACTCAAACGCGTCACGTGCACGCAATTGCTCGCCGGCAGGTACTACGAGATGGTCAACATCCACCCTGCCACCGTTGACCAGTTCTACAAGATCTCGTCCATCAACCTCAGCCCGAACTCAATCGGCCAGATCGCATTGAGCTGCATGGTCAACCCCCCGGCAGCCGGTGAGTCATCCTGCTTGGCTCTGCTGGTGTCTGAAGCACCTCCTCCATTGCAAATGGACCTGCTGCAGTGCTTTTGCCTGGGTTTTCAACCGAAATCACGCATCTGTCACTGCAACGCGACGTTGATTGATCAGCTTCGCAAGACTCTGCTTGAGCTTGTATTCTGTTGCCACCAGCCAGTCAACGTTTCCCAAGCTGGTTCGCCCGCCCTGGACCCGGCTGCCACCAAACCCCTTCGGCGCATTCCTCCGGACGACCTCGTGGCAGGGGATCCCTCGCACGAGCTGTGGATCCAGGAGCAGCAGGGCGAGCTGGCCTCCCTGAATCGCCGCGCCAAGATGGTGGTGGACGGCTTCAACTCCCTGCAGGGCGTCTCCTGCAACGCCACGGAGGGCGCAATGTATGCCTTCCCGCGCCTCTCCCTGCCGCCCCGCGCGCTGGAAGCTGCCCGGAAGGCGGGGCGGGCGCCGGACGCGTTCTACTGCCTGAGGCTGCTGGAGGCGACCGGGATAGTGGCGGTTCCGGGCAGCGGGTTCGGGCAGGCGGAGGGAAGCTTCCACCTGAGGACCACGATCCTGCCTAGGGAGGAGAGGATGGCGGAGTTTGTACAGAAGTTCAGGTGGGAACCGGGCACGGCTCGGCACGCGGGAAGACGGGCAGGCATGAGCTGGCCGTGAACAGGTGGAAATCATGATGGGTGGAACTGAGTTGTTGCTTGTGTGATCCCGGGGGCAGGCAGGTGCATGCACCAGGGGCCAGTGCAGCGAATAACAAAGCACAGCCGCTGCCGTCGTCGTTTGTGGCGTTGGTGCGACAAGCAACGCCCCTGCTCTTCACTGCCACCCGCACCTACAGGACCTTCCACCAGTCCTTCATGGCAGAGTTCATGTGAAACTGGAGCCCGGGCTGCAGCGGGGCTTGACTATGCACAATCATGGCTGCTGGTCACCTCATAAAGTGCAAGCCGACTGCGGTAAACCTGAGAACCTTTGTGTGTGCTGCACACATCAGCCACGCAGCACTCCCACGGCCCATCCCTGTCGGGCGCCGAGGGGCCCGCCGCCGTCCCCGAACACCCGCGCCGGTGCCGGCAGGCGGGCGGCCTGGCGAGGTGACCTGTGTGTACCATCCATATGTCAGACCCGAAGACCCCCAGGACGACACATCCCTGCCTGATGATGCCTCTGGTTGCCTGCCGGCGCGAGCCGCCACAGAACCCCTCACAACGTGCATGCATGCACACGGGCGTACACATGCGTGTGATTTTGCTGCGTCACCGGTCCAGCACCTGGCAGGTGCCTGGAGGCTGCCATCGTGCGGGGCTTGTGTCGGCGACTCGCCGGCACACGATTTGATTTTGGATGCCTGCTTCCACTCAAGTGGTTTCTTGCCGTTGATAATGTCATGGCTGTCTCTGAACGCCCGAACTTTGCATGCTGGCAGCAGCCACGCTATGCGCTGGCCGGCCGGGATCTAGGGAGCTAATACGCACGCACGATGCCTGCAGCTGCACTTGTATGATTCGTGCGGGCGGGTGTCAGGTGTGTTGGTGAAGCACACTGGGCAGGGAAGGCAGATCATACACACATATGATTCTCAAACTTCACAACCGTCAACACTCCTTTGGAGCGCCTGTTCCCGATGCCTGCGTTTGATAGTTCCAATGGTGTTGGGGGTTGGGGCTTGTGGTGTGCAACGCTTGAGCTGGACCCTACACCTATACATTCAGACGAGCGCCCTACCAGTCAAACACCCGAGTTTAGCAGCCTCTCTTACATCCAATTGCACTTGGGTAAGATGGATATTTGTTCTCCGTGGCTGCCGCCAGCTGGCTTAGGCAGCTGGACGTGGTCAGCACTGACACAAAGAGCGCCCTGAAACACAGCCGCCCGCGAACCCACCCGCCGCTGGCCGGGGTCGGGTCGCAGTCACGCAGTGCTCTCCTGCTTGGGGGAGCTTGCGTGCGCGCTTGGTCTCCTGGTTTGCAGGCATCTCCTGGTTTCAACTGCCCTTTGGATATGTCAAAACGTGGTGAGCGCCCCATGTGGCACCGGGGACCTTTGTGTATTTGTGGACCGTTTCAGGTCGGCGCCAGCCGTCGCTTGCCCTAAACCAGGCAGGGGCCCGCTGCGTCGTCAGTGCCATCTGCGCAAGTTGCATTTCAAGAAATGAGGAGGAGCGCTGGAACTACGCTGCAGGGAGGAAGGGAAGAATGCGAAGGGTCGGGCTGGCACGGATGACTCTGGTGGTGACTCTGGTGGTGACCTGGTGTTGAAGCCATCATCGATCTCAGGGCAGCAAAATCGTCCGGCTGGTATGCACAGGCCCGTCGGTCTCGCACCGCTCTACGCACACACAGTGTGCGGACATGCAGAGTCCCCTGAAGACTCCTAGTCGCGCCGACACAACATGTGCCACTTTCCATGAATCGCTTCTAAACGCAGGCGCTTCTGGCACATGTAGGGGCCAAGAGCCATTGAGCACTCGACTCCCTGGGTTCAGTTGACCGTTGACGCCAAGGCACAATTTGTCTGCCGTGTGCGTGCTGCGCCCCCTTGCCGTGCAGAATCTCTCCTTGCAAAAAACCTGTTATTGTTTCTTGTTCAAGCCACAGTTCCTATGGTGGGACCCGCATTCGAGGTTTAGGGCAGGGCATAAGAGCCGGGCCCGTGGAATTGTGTGGGGTCGCCGCCCCTGCGCATCCCACATACCCGATCCGCGCGCCGCCCGCGCACGTGACGGCGGCGGGCGGATCTCCGTCTGCGCCGCGGCGCGCGCGCGCTGCGCGAGAGCCTTGATCCCCGGGTGCGTTTTGATTCGGGCGAGCAGCCCTGCACTTTGCCCCAATCCGTTTCAGGCGCGGCCTCCGGGATGGCCCGGGAGACCGAGAGCCCGCGCGCGAGAGATCCCGGAGCGCATCAGTGTCTAGATATGAAATAAAATGATGTGCAATTTTATAATTCATGCTCGTAACTCTCTCCGTACCGTGGTCGGGGAGGGGTGACCCTTTGCGGTGTGGCTGCGGTCTCTGACCACGCGCCGGCCGCTGACGCGGCGTTCGGCGGTGTATGTGCGTCAAAATTATCCATATTACTCTCCTGCGATTGACCAGCCCTTCTGTGCAACGCCCGCGCGTTTGTTCGTTTGCAGCACTGCTGCTGACGTGGCG